ACACACACACACACACACACACACACACACACATATATATATATGATATACACAACCAGTAGATGAGTTGTGACATCTGTCACTGAGCTTTGCTTTTTTCCATGGGCAGCTTAGATATGGCCGTGACAGACCATGTCATTTGTCTGCAGTTTACCAAAAAACCCCCAAACCACCCAACAAAAAACAAACAAACAAAACAAAACCAACAAAGAAAAAAACTCAAACAACAACAACAACAGGTAACAGCAACAAAACAAAACTAAACAAAGCGTGAAAAAAAAAACGGGTGGGGGGTGGGGGACGGACGAAAAAACAAACACATCTATACTTCTATTTTTATGGCAAGAAAATTAACGACACACAAAAACAAAACAAAGACCACACTCCAACAAAAAAAGAAACCCATCCCAAAAAGGAATGAACCTGGTAAACCTGAACCACAAGAACTAAAAAAATAAGCAGAAAGCACCAATCATCATAAATGCACACAAACACTCACACACACACACATACACACACACACACACACACACACACACACACACAAACACACACATACACTCACACAAACACACACAAACACACACAAACACACACACCCCCTCTCTCTATGATTGTCTGTCTGTCTGTCTGTCTGTCTGTCTGTCTGTCTGTCTGTCTGTCTGTCTGTTTGTGTGTGAAAAATTCGAGCCTATATTTTTAAATCCCTATTCGTGGGGCTGAGTGGTCACAGGACCAGTGTTTGTCTACGATAAAGCATTGCCGTATTTATTTAAATATTTGTTTTTGTCGAAGCGATGGTATGGGCTAATATGTAATGCATCGTGGTGAAATCTGGCGCTTGTCAAAACAATGAAACCGAGTTTTTTTGCACTACACGGTTTATAAAAAAAAGGTGATTGAAAGCACAACAATGTATTTTTGTTTTGTTTTCAAGGACTGTCTTAGCTATGAAGTCACCAAACTTTGGCAATTATTTTCTCGCCAATTTTACCTCTTAAACCAGGCAACCCCATCTCATTCAGCCTAATTATCTCGACTTCTGTTTAAGATAGATAGGAATCTTTTTCACCAAAATATAGACAAATAAACAAACTTAATGATTATACCAATAACTCAACACGCCCAAAAACGGACGAGCACCTGATTCCATCATGAGGTAATGCATATTATGCTGAAAAGAGAGGCCAGACCTAATGATTTTCGGGCAGGTCGGTCTCGGTATCGACGTAAAGGAGGTAGACAAAACATTCTCTCTCGCAGTTAACATTTTATTCCTAATACACATCATCAGTTTTGCATTTGAATTGGTCGTACGAATCCTCTTGGGGTACGAGTGAAGACTCAGGAAGGTACCAGAACTTTCTCAGGGACGGGAGGATATATTTTGGTTCCGGGCAGCACTTGACGAGACTTTTCGTTGCATAACTGATTAAAAGTCCAAAGAAAATACAAACGACGGTCCCAATGAAAGCCGACCACTCGTACGATATGTCATACACAAAAAACGTGAAATGATCCGCGGCAGAAGAGGTGTTGGAGAAATTGATGTTCGTGTTGTTGAATTGTGATGAAGAGTTTGCGGTTATCAAGATGTCTTGAAACGACGTGTATGGGTTGCCAGTAAAGTTTGATAAACTCCCATCGAAACTATAATTACCGCTGCCTGTAGGTAGGTAACCGAGTGTTTCAAAGTTGATGCATCCATCTGTGGGTGGTGAAGGCAAAATAGGTTGTCGACGTCCGTAAAACTGGCGTCCAACACTAATCCAAACATTGACAGCTAGCGCGATGCCACCACCAACCAAAGCGCCATATTTGTTGGCCCAGGGAACACAAGAACCGATGATGTAAATCGCTAAAACGGGGCTGCCGAATGATCCAGAAACTGTGATAGCCATGGAGGTTAGAGGTCCCGGGATGGAACTCATGCCATAGGCCAGGCCCACCATCAGACCACCGAACAGGAAAGCAGTCAGTTTAGTGATCATAGTGACCGTGGCTTCCGAGAAGGAGATCAGCGGGCTTCGGAGTAGGTCCTCCACCGTGTTAGCTGCCAGCGAGTTAATACCTGGGGATGGAAAGTTGGTGTTGTTCGAGTTAATGGCGGGGGTGGGTTTTTTTCTGGTCAGTGTTTCACGGCGCTCTCAACTGCATACGGTCATATGAGCGCGCAGGACACATTAAACATATTCAGTTTGGTAGGAATTAATTTTGAATGTTGCCTGAGTGGCGACCGAAGCCTGCTCTTATCGAGTTTAGGACCACCAAGAGGTCTTTAATGTGTGCAGCCCCCCATGTCAAACTTTTCGACCCAGTGCTCAATATCCTGGGTCAGCTATATTATACAATAGCAGCAGGCTGTACTCATCCCGATGCGAGAAGACAAGGATGGTCATATTTTATTTCTAATGAAAGTTTATTAAAGAATGACTTTAAATGAGGTTGACCAATTCCAAAGCGAATAGTCTGTTACACTGAATTTCCGACTATGTGATGAAATGTATACGTATGTATAAAAAAAACCCACACGCACATTATACTCACTCACACACACATACACACACACACACACACACACACACACACACACGCACACACATACACACACACACACACATACATACATACACACATACACACACGACCTCCCCCCCCCACACACACACTCACACACATTCACACACAGAAACAGGACGTGGATTCCACACAACTAAATAGAGACATTAAGAGAATATGGAGAGAGTGGAATAGACACATGCACAGAGTCAAATATGAAGTGTATTTGTTTTAGTGTTTGTGTGTGTGTTTGTGTGTGTGTGTGTGTGTGTGTGTGTGTGTGTGTGTATGTGTGTGTGTGTATGTGTGTGTGTCTATGTGTGTAAGTGTATGTAAGTGTGTTTCGTTACATAGATAGATAGATAGATAGATAGATAGGTAGATAGATAGATAGATAGATAGATAGATAGAT